GCATATAATATATTCGGAATGGCAGTCATTCAAATTAAGATTGGATTGGTTATTAAAATGTGCATGGGTGGACGAATAATTAATTATAAGATCCATAAATTATATATAGAGAGATAGAGACGAATTGTTCATAAAGGAAAAAAAAAAGAAAAAAAGAAAAAAAAAAGATATAGACAAATCAAAAGGACCAAGGATAAGGAGATAAAAAAATGAAAAAAAAAAAGGGGAAAGGACCAAGGATAATGTCGTGTGTGGGAGAAGGCGAACAATGTCGACAATAAAGGCGCTGGCGCACGCAAAAGGAGATAAAGGAGAAAATGCGAGCAAGGGCGGATCGTGGCATCCCACTTTGTATATATTGGGGATTTTGGGGACGGTGAGGTACATACAATTAAGTGAGAAAATTTAATATTAAAAATATAATAAAAAATATATATCTTAAATTAAAAAAAAATTGAACTATTTATTATTAATTAATTTTTAATTGAATATAAATTTTATGTTAGATTTCATATACTTAATTTTTATATAGTATTAAAGTTTAAATTCCACTTCTGAAAAATCTGTAAAAACTGATAAGCCAAGTAAGAAGGCATATTAAGCCATGTTGCTTAAATACAAACAAGCTACTAAACCTTATGTTAAAAGCCACACTCATGCTCAATCTTCACATATATTGTACAAATTAATTGCTTCTTAATTATTAATATTTCTATCACAAAATAATACAATAATTGTTTTTTATTCAAAATTCATTTTAGATTAATTGTTGTAATTATATATATATTTCAAGAGATACAGATATATATTTTTTAATTTAACCTTATTGTTATCTAATCACTTAAATTATTCATCATATTAAACATAAATTTCTCTTAATTTTTATCTAACTCTTTTTTTTTTTTCCTGGCCGACTATCTAACTTTTATTAAAGACAATTTAAGTAAAACTAAAAATTTTCTCCAAAATTTTTGTACAAGAAAAAAGTAAGAAAAAAATAATTATTGTTATTACGGGACAGCATGTAGCCTTCCTTTCACAAGAAAAGACAATACATCTAGGTTTGTTGAGGTTGAGGGGCATCACATATATTATATACTCTTCAACTTTATATATTTGCTTTGCTTTACTAGATACCGAAACACACAACGATTACCTCACGCTCTCTCCCATAGCTAAAAGGGAGCAGAAAAGAGGATTCTCTCGATTTTGTTTATTAGGTCCTTTTCAAAATTTATATATATAGGCAAAAAATTATCAGTTCTCTTTTTGAATGAAAATTAATTTATCAAAATCAGTTTTGTTCTTCAATCATACGTGTTGAATAATTAATATTTCATTAAATAAAGATATTGTCCAGGATTCCAATTGCTGCTGTCATATATCTCTTGCCATTTAGTAACACGTGCGTTATTTTTTTTATTCTCTATGGAAACTAAATTAAAATTGATAATTAACAATAATTATCAGGGTTAATATGGACACCTTTTTTTAATTACATCAAAGAGTTAGTTGTTTGTTGTTAAAGATATTTGAATTTTTTATTTTGACTTCAAGTCAAAAATTTTAGATTAGTAGATAATAATTTAACCAATCTCTTATTAGTAAGTTAATATGAACACTAATAAAGGTTAAAGAGTTTTTCTAACTTATGCGTTAAATGTGTAATTATTGCACATTTTTTATATTAATTAAGGTTGAGAAAATAAAAGTTGATATTTATTTAAGCAACTATTCAATTAAAACGATTTAGGTGATATTGGTGATAAAATTAATAATGATTTTTGTATTTTTTAATATTAATTAATGTAAAAAAGTGTAATAATTACATTCTTAATTTGTATTTTAAGAGCATAAGTTAAAAAAAAAATCCTAAATGACATGGCCTTGATTAGTTTTTTTTTTTAACAGCAACTAGATATTTAATTGATGAAACGAGTACAAGGGGTACTCAACCCTTAAAACACATACAAAAAACAAGCCCTTCAATGTTAATCCTATCTTTCGGACCTTTCCTACTGTATTCTACTTTCCTCTACAATTAATTAAAAGACAAGAAGTAGGATCAATCAACCAATCCGAAAGACTAAAATAACACCTAGCTTTCCTTGCTTTAAGCCGTGCAAAGGATCTCAATTGAATAAGCTTAAAAAGTTTGCTTGGGTTTACCTTCAAATCATAAAAAACCTTCCCGTTTCATGCCATCCATACAGTCCATATAACTGTATTCCAGATGCAGTCTTACCCTTCTGATATGCGAGGTTTTTTAGACCATGTTCCGAAGTGTTGAAATGTTGTCCAGCAATCACTGTGAAGTGTGAGTGTTATTCCCCACCATTTTGCACATTCCTGCCATAACTATCTAGCCATTCTGCAATTTACAAACAAATGAGTAGTATCTTCATTCTTTTCCTCACACAAAACACACTTCTCTTCTGCCATGTCTTTGATAATCCCTCTTTTGATCAGGTTTAATTTAGTTGGAATTTTGTCCAGCAAAACTTTCCAGTTAAACACAGCAATTTTACTTGGGGCGATGGGATTCCACACTCTTTTAAATATTTTAGCTTTCTAGTTCCCTCCTTTGCATTGATAACATTTGGTATGCTCTTTTTGTTGAGGATTGGCTTTCCCTGCTGTGGATCCATTCCCATCTATTAGGGTGGCCTGGTGTGATCTTCACATCTTCGGTCTTCCTTTTCATTTCTCTGGCTGCTTCTTCTTCCCCCACAAACAGATTTCTTCTCCATGTCAGGTTCCATTTCCATTTGCCTTGGTCAACATTACCCATTTCATGGCATTCTTTATCCTTCCTTGTTAACAATGAATACAATATGGGAAATTTGTTAGCTAAACACTCCTTCCTACACCACACATCCCACCAGAAACTAATACCTTTCCCTTCCCTTATCTTTAACCTAAAACCCTCCCACAACCATCTTACATTCACCCCCTCCCCAGTTTTGAGGCTTTGGATATCTCTCCACCATAACGATCCTATGTTCCTGCCATCACGCACCCATTCCAGCCAGTGCCACCCTATTACTCCATATTTTCCTTCAATAACACTCTTCCACAAGCCCTCTTCCATATTTGCTAGCCTACCCAACCATTTTCCCATCAATGCCACATTAAACTTCCTCAGGTCTCTTATACCTAGCCCTCCCTCCTCCTTTGGTTTACATACCCTTTCCCAACTAACCCAATTGGTTTTTTTCCCTTCCCCCTTCCCTTCCCATAAAAAATTTCTATGAATTCTATCTAAGGAATAGAGTATATCTTTAGGGAGTAGGTAGGCTGACATCAAGAATACAGGTAAGCTGGACAACACAGAATTTATGAGCATGACCCAACCTCCGAGCAATAGATTCTGGCCCTTCCAACTTGTTAGCTTCTTTTTGAAGGAGTTCACCAGTGGTTGCCACATTGCTAACTTTCTATGATTCCCTCCGATTGGAATTCCTAGGTACTTGAAAGGCAACTCACCTTCTTTATAGTGGAGATTGTATGCCATTTTCTTTTTCCAATCTTCCTCCACCCCATCAGCTGACTTTTTCCGAAGTTGATTTTTAGTCCCGACACTAACTCGAAGGTCCTCAGAATGCATTTGATAACTTGGATGTTTCCTTCTGATGCTTCACCAAAAAATATTGTATCGTCTATGAACTGGAGGTGGGATACCGTCACATCTCCATTAACTATCCTCACTCCCTTGTACAATTTCTTATCCACCGTAGATGACATTAATCCATTCAGTCCCTCTGCCACTATTAAGAACAAAAAAGGAGATAGTGGATCACATAGCCTTGATTAGTTAAACAGTAAGATCTTCCAACTGTCAAGTGGTAATTTCGTTGTTTGCTCTCAACCATTTTAAAAAAAGTTAACCTATATGAGGTTTTAAAATAAAGAATTAAGGAGATTGCTTCCATTTTATTGATTAACATTTGATTTCTTGAGAAAGTCGATAAAAATGTAATTCTTCATAAATTCTCTAATTTTGGTGTATATAACTTACTTTTAACAAGATTAAAAAGAATTAGTTTTGAAGTACCTATAAACTAACTCAAAAAAAAAAAAAAAAAACACTTCTCCCATTAAGAAGAGGGATCATAATTAATGTCTCATTTTTTTAAAATAGAGGGACTAAAGTGGTTCATTTTTTTTAGAGGGATAAGAGTGCTGCCACTTTTCTCTTTCTAAAGGTAAAAAGACGAAAATGTAATTAAACAAAAAGTGTATGTCCAAAATCAATTAATGGACATCATATTCTCATGCTAAGTCTCACCGCATCTCCATTTGTTATCAGCATCTCATTTCTTAACCACTAATCAACATCCTATCCAAATTAAGTTGACATTCTCCTTCCGCCATACACATACACAATCATCAAAAAGGGGCATTTCCCCCCACCCAAAAGGTACTCTCTGTTTCTTTTTCTTTTTTTTTTTGGTTTCCTGTCCGGTATCTGAGGTTTCGCTCTGACTTATCCGAATCGACCCACGTCGCGCACCTAAAAATGGTGGGTGAATTTTCCAACGGAGGCTACTGCGTACACAATGTCTCGAATTCGAGACATTGCTTAAGTTGGAACAAGTCGCTTATCACTTGATCCAACCCCTCGTTGGTAAGATACTCTCTGTTTCAACATCATGAAATTGAGGCCTCTTGATTGACTTGAGAAGGTTATTAAATACAAACTTGCCAATTAAACTAATTTATTGGGACTTCTGTCTATTCTCTGGCAAAAATTATATCTATATTACTTTATTTCCCTTTATTTTAAATTACATAAGGAGATCAAGTCCTTTCCCATCCCTTTAACAACAAAGTTAATGTATATGCTTAAAATTTAAATTTATAACTTTTTACTTGACGTTTATTTTCTTTAATTTTTTTAGATTTTTTTGGTAATATTTTTTGGTACTTTATTTTTTAGTTTTTATATTTTTTTTTTATTATTTTAAAA